CAATCAGCTCAGATACCAGAAGGAAAACACTGTTAAAACATACCTAGCACAGTACTCAAAGTGAAGTTCTAAGCCTCATAATAGTAAGCAGCAAAAAAGTAAACATGTTATTTTACAGTATAAACATGTTATATTATCAGGTTTGAAACTAAAAGAGCCAAGAACAAGAATAAGAAACCCAAATAAGAGTCCAAAGCACAGAATGATGCTACATTGCATGGAAACCACTACCAGCTAGCTGCTATTCACACACTACATGTTTATTACCTGTGGCCGCTGCTTGTGCTGTGTCTGGTTTTGGTTTTGAGGTTGTTCCCAGGTTCCCCGGGCTCGGTTAGTGCCCACCGACGTCATCATTTACAGTATATACAAATAACAGTATTTACAAGGAAGAATACTGAAGAGGAAAGAAAGAGAAGGTTACATGTAGGTAAAATGTTTTTAATTCTGTTTTAGCAAAAATTTACCACCAATCACTTTACTTTTCTCAAAGAAACAAACCAAGGAAATTCACCTTTTTTTTTTTTTTTTTTTAATTTTTCTTTTCTCTCTAGTGGGGCTAGGGATCAAACTCAAGCCTTTTTTTTTATATTCTAGGCAAGCAGTCTACCACTGAGCTACATTTTCAACTCAAGATTCACCTCTTGAGAATCTTCTTGAGTTTGTGCTGGCCTCAAACACAATGTAGCAAAGCTGACCTTGAAAATCTAATCTTTCTTCTACTTCCCAAGTGCTGTTAACTACAGGTGTGTGCCACTGAGACATTTTATATTGTTGTTTAAATACGGCTGTTAAACCATTTTTATTCGTGTGCCTCAGTAATAAAATATATGCTTTGCATACATAAGGTCCTAGACTAGATCAACAAACCCTGCATCCAAAAATGTATATAAAGTATGTGTGATGTTTGAAGACACTCTCATTATGTAGCCTTGGTTGGCCTCAAACTCAAGGCAATCCTCCTGCCTCTGCCTTCTAAGTGCTGGCCTATGTGGCTATTTTTAAAAAGATGTTAAAAACATAACAATTTAGTTACTGCTATCTTGCAAATAAGCAAAAACATTATCAATATTAAAAAACTTTCCATACATGTGAAAGTATCTGAAGTGTCTATGACAAAAAAGATAATTAACAAACCCTAGAAAACAAATGCCTTCCAGGAGTTGGGCACAGCACATACCTGTAATCCCAGCACTTGGAAAGCTGACCAGAGAGGATTGCAAATTTGAGGCCAGCCTGGGCAACACAGCAAGATTCTGTCACAAAAAACAGACATGAAAGAAGGTAGGGAAGGAACAGGGAGAGGGGAGGAAGAGAGGAAGAGAGGAAGGAAGGAAGGAAGGAAGGAAGGAAGGAAGGAAGGAAGGAAGGAAGGGAGGGAGGGAAGCCTTCTAGGTTAGTCTATAAATCAAAGAAATTACAACTTATGTTTTAGGAGCTGTGAGCATGGCTCAGTTAAGGGCCTAAGGTCATAACCATTAACAATAGGATAGGAGAAAGCAACATAACCAGCACACATTAAAACAGTAATAGCCTTACCTACCCTGCAACTGTTTGATTTAAGTGGTGTGTGGCTTCTACTACTTGGGAAAAGCTAAGTTCATAACTAGCCTTTCTTTCCAGTTTTAGCTCTTCATGACTCTACTAGGGCATGTGTTAGTCCTAGAATCCATTTCCTAGAAAATTCCAACAGTCTTTTATAGCCTCATCAGTTGGTCTCATACACACTTTCAAGTAAACAGAATGATGATTAGGCTCCCCACTCACCTTAATACAAAGGGAATCCCAAAACTGCCCCCAATCAAATACACCTATCACCAAGTTATATTTAGAAGGGCTTCTAGGAAATGACTTTAAATCTGAGACACTGTTTGCATGATTTCACTCTTTAGAGAAACAGAAAATACAAGAACCTTCCCAAAACTAGAACATAGTTTCTGTCCTTTCTGTCAAGTAAGTGTTCTACTAAATTTAAGTTCCCTTTCTTCATACTGTTTTATAAAGTAATCTCAGCTGCCACTTTGAGTAAACAAAGAAAACATTCATCATCATGATAGAGTGCTCAAAATCAGGTTACTTTTCATTGTTTTACTCCTTTACTTCTTTTTGTTTTTTGGGTTTTTGTTTTTTGTTTTGTTTTTGTTTTTCACTAACAAAACACTATACAGGGTAATTCTAGACTGCCCAGAAGACAATAGATTTTGAGGTTATGAAAGTTCTATAGAAATATGCAAGAACTTCACCTACTTCTTGAATAACAGAGAAAGCAGACTTTCCTGTGGATAAATCCTTCATCAAGTTTTGTCAATAGATTGTACAGGTCTTTGTTTTTTGATGTGGTCACCAAGAACAAAGACTTCAATTACATTCCTTATCACCAATAAAAGGCTTTTTACTTACGTTTTAAAATTAGATGTGGAATAATCAATCCCAACCTACTCCTGAATGGTTTCTACTCCATTATAGTAACAAATTTTGAGAATTATACCATAAACATAAGCTGTAAGACTAGCTGTTTAAATCACTGCACATTATTTTACAAGTTGGATGTAAATATATTACAAAGTCATACTGGAAAACACATAACTACCCAGGAAAAAATCCTTTTAATCACTCTTGTTTTTAATTTTATTCCCCTCTTTGGTAATACTTTGATATGTGAAATTAAGAATATTTTGCCTCCTAATTAATAATAATGAGCAACAGGTCAAAAGTAAATAATCGGGGCAAACCATGTAACGGCACAGAATAGCTTTTTAATAGCAAACAAAGAGTTATTCAGTGGGAGTGAGTGACCATGTTTGTTAACTCTTAAAAAAGTGTAAGTATTTAAGGGAAGTAGGATGAGAAAGAAGTATTGGAAACCGAGAGACCTACAGGAACAAGTAAGGGTTTCAACAAAGAAGTGCCCTTGACTATATTTTGAAAACCAGCTACTTAAAAAAAAATAGCCAGAGAAATGTTACTGAAAAAAATAAACAATAAGTATTTATTGAGTATCTACTAGAGTCCAATACTTCAGGAAATACAAAAGCTTTGTGACTTAGTTGCTGCTCTCAGGGAGCTTACAATCTAATTTGGGAAACAATTCAGACATTCTAAAGTTGGACTGGGATGGGTTAGGCTTACCACCTCTTACAGAGAACTTATTTCTGGATGCTTAGTTGTGTCCCAAAGACCTGTGTCCCATTCCCCAACCAACTTCACTCTAATAAGGAGCCTTCCCAGTTAGGAACACTTAGGGGTAGGGAGCAGTACATTTTGCCCTTCACTGTTTTATACACAGCAGTATCTCCCATTCACAACATAAACAATCATTGGGGTAATCTAATAAAGACAATGGTGTAGGACCACAACACAGTTTTACCAACAGAAACATATCCAAAATGTTTTAATCTCTACTAATGCTGGTTATCAAACCGACCCACATCCCCCTCCCAGCAAGTCACATTGGATATCCCCAAAATGGGAGATGGAGACAAAAAAGGATTTCTCCATTTAATAATCACAGTGAGTCAAAGGCAATAAACAACAAAAACAAAAAAAAAAAAAACACGTTAACAACAAAATCGCCTTTTACTGTGTTTTTCTTTCCACAACATCCAGAGGTGGCTAAATTTTAAGAATCGTGGAAAAAACAGTCTCTTGTTTGTGACATCACTTTGCGCAGCAATTTAGAGACTATCCACCAGGTGAAGGGTCTCAAGAAATTTGGAATTCCATTCCCATTATGAGAAAAAATGACAAATGCCCAGTGATCTAGTGACGTCCCTTGCGTGTAATACAACCCATGGGGGCCTCCATGTCCAGCTTCCCAAATAATAAAATGTCTTGGGTACCCAAAACTACAGTACAGGAAGCTTAAGATAGCAGCAAAAATATATTCCACGATCAGAGTCGTTAAGAATGAAAGCAGGATAATAAGAGGAGCTGACAAAGAGGCTGGAAACGAACAGAGGACAGAAGCCCACGCGCGGAGGATGGGAGGCTCACCCCCCTCCGCGCCACATCAAGAGCCCATGGGGCCATTCGCCTCTACCTCCCACCCGGAACAAATTAATCCTCCGCACCCCAAACTGAGGGCCACATCGGGGGAGTTTAGGGCAGCTCCACCCCATCGACCCCCCCCCCGCCCCCAGACCAGGCCGGATCCGGACCAGAGGCCCATAGAGGATTGGGAAGGGAGGAGGCCTTCTCCATAGACACTGGCCCTCGTAGAGAACCCTACCTCAGACTGGGCCCGGGCCTCGCTCGCCCGCGCTCTTTCTCGCTCTCCCCCTTCAGGCTCTAGCCGCATGCCCCCCCCCCCCCCCGGCTGCCCCAAGCCCCGCCCCGGCCACGCTCCCAAATCGAGGCCCCGGCTCTGGCGCGGCCCAGTAGGCCGCGAACCCAACTATAAACAAAACCTCCGGCTGCCAGCACGGGGGGGGGGAGAAGGGGGGGTTGGACGCCCGGGTTCGCACAACTAGAAGGATGTACAGCGGGAAAACACACGGCGTGGGGGGGGCCTACCGCGGGAAGGGGGGGTACAGAGAGGACAGAGGGAAAGGAGGGAGGGTAAAAGGGGATCGCGGATTTAAAGGGGCCGCGGACAATACCCGGCCCCGCCGCGTTGCCGCTGCCGCCGCCGCCGCCGCCAACGCCGCTGCGCTCCCAACTTTACCTCAGTCTCCTCCACACTGACACCCCGGGCCGCGCCGCCCCTGTCACGTGATATAAGATTCCCTCCTCCCCACCCCCTCCCTCCTTTTCCCTCTCGCGCTCGCGCTCGCGCCTCACCCCTCCCACTTGCCTTCCTGCGTCCCTCAGCACGTGACGCGAAAGGGCCGCGCACGTCACCGTGCGCGCGCCTCCCCGCCACGAAACACAGCTCCGGAGTTCCGCGCGCCCGGCCCACCTCCACCCCCGCCCCCGCCCCGTACGGCTCCTCCTGCATCACGTGACTCCCGGGCGGCCTATGCTTCCTATGCTTCCTCTTACTGGCGTAATTCCGCGTCTCCACACCCCGCTCTCCCAGGTGCCTTTGCGGACGCGAGTCACGTGGCGGGGGTGGAGCGGAAGGTGCTGTGCTTAACTAGCGCCCCCCTCCTCCATGTTTTCTGACCGATTCTAGTTTGGTTTTCCCCCAAAACCAAATGGAAATGGCCGGGTAGCTCCAAGGAACCTAGGGGCCCTGGCTTCCGCTGGGCCTGGACTGACGCGCAAGCGCGACGGGAATATCCTAGCAGGTCTTCGCGGAGAGAGAGGCGATGGCGTCTAGCAGTAACTGGCTGTCCGGAGTGAATGTTGTGCTTGTGATGGCATACGGGAGCCTGGTGAGAAGATTCCCCAGTCCATTCCTGCTGTGGCGTCTATCCCAGGAGAGACCCTCCGAGTCCTGACCTTTTCCCTGACTTCATTCCTCAACCACTTGCTTTGTTTCCTAGCTTTTGATTGTACCCATAGACTGCCTGAGAACTTCAAGTCAAAGCTGCCCGCCCCTGCCTAAGAACCCTCCCTCTTAAATTCTAGGGCCCAGACATCACGCCTCCCCGCTATTAGCCCTGGACCCATCCCCATCCTTAGCGTCCTGGCTTTGCCCCAAGTTTTATCCCACAGTATCCTGCCCGGAGAGCTTGAACTCAGGGATTTTGAATGTTTTTTTTTTTAACTGAGTTATCGTAATTATTAAAGGTGGTTCTAATTTTTTTGGGCAGGTATTTGTACTGCTGTTTATTTTTGTGAAGAGACAAATCATGCGCTTTGCAATGAAATCTAGAAGGGGACCTCATGTCCCCGTGGGACACAATGCTCCCAAGGTAGGTCCTTAGGATGCAATGTAAACATGATTCTTTGAATAGTTAGGCATAAAGAGATTTTCTCTGACTTCACAAGATGACTTTCCTATCCTTTTATGTCCAATTACTTTCATTTTCGCCCTAATAAATTAACAAGTGTTTCATGTTGCTTTATTTTAGCATAATGTTGGGATGGTAGCATTTAGCTCCAGAGCTGTAAGAATAATTGCCTTTACAGACTTTTAAAGATGCCCACAGTGCTTGCCTAGAATGCATAATAGTCTGAGTTTGAACACTGACACTACAAAAAGGAGGAGGGAAAAACATTAATCACTTGGTTCCACCCTTCTTGTCAACCCTAAGGAAGGAAGCAAATTACCTATCTTTTTTTTTTTTTAAAGATTTATTATGTATACAACATTTTGACTGCATGTATTCTTACACACCGGAAGAAGGCACCAGATCTCATTATACATGGTTGTCTGCCACCATGTGGTTGCTGGGAATTGAACTCAGGACATCTGGAAGAGTAGTCAGTGCCCTTAACCTCTGATCCATCTCTCTAGCCCTTAACCTACCTTTTTAATTTTGTTATTTGTGAGACATATATGTGTCCCTGGCTGGCCTTGAACTCACTATGTAACCCAAGATGGCTCTCTCACCATGTAACCTCAAAGAAGTTCTCCTGCCAATACCGTACAAGTGCTGAGATTACTAAAATAATATGCCACACTGGACTACATTAAAAAGTGAATAATCACCAGGCATTGGTGGTGCACACCTTTAGTCCCAGCACTCAGAAGGCAGAGGCAGGCGAATCTCTGTGAGTTCAAGGCCAGCCTAGTCTACAGAGCTAGTTCCAGGACAGCCAAGGCTACACAGAAATCCTGTCTCGGAAAAAAGAAAAGTAAATAATCAGGGCTGGAGAGATGGCTCAGTGGTTAAGAGCAAAGGATCTGAGCAATGGTAGCTCACACTTTCTGCAACTCCTATTCCATGGGATCTGACACCCTCCCACAGACATACATGTAGGCAAAACACCATTACATATAAAATACAAATAAATTATTTTTAAAAAATTATCATGCTGGGTATGGAGATATCCTTTAGTCTCCGCATTCGGGAGGCAGAAGTAGCCTGATCTCTGTATTCAAGGCTAGCCTGGTCTTCAGAGCAAGTTCCAGGATAGCCAGGGCTACACAGAGAAACCCTGTCTCAAAAAAGAAAAAGTAAATAATCATGCCTGTTGTGGTGGTGCACACCTTTTTATTATTATTATTATTTATTCATCAAGCATACAGTGTTCTGTTCACATGCATGAGTGCACACTAGAAGAAGGCATCAGATCCCATTATTGAAGGTTGTGAGCCACCATGTGGTTGCTGGGAATTGAACTTAGGATGTCTGGAAGACAGCCAGCGCTCTTAACCTTCAAGCTATCTCCAGCCTGGTGCACACCTTTAATCCCAGCACTCAGGAGGCAGAGGCAAGCAAATACAGAGCAAGTTCCAGGACTACATAGAAATAATTAAAACAAAAAGTAATCTAGTAGTAATCTTGACTTTCTTAAATGCTTTCCTTCTTTACTTGGCTTTAAGAAAAGTGTCTTCTAATGGAACTTTGTCTCTATGAGAAACCTGTTAGGATATATAACTGCCACCTGACATTGAAACTTAGATTTCAAATCTAATATGCATAAATCCAAAGTCTTGTGTGTGTTTTTGTGGAACCTGAGTGTGGCATCTCTGTCTTCCCCAGTTGCTCGCCATCTTAATTTTGGAGACAGGGTCTTACACTAAGCTTGGAGCTTCCCAGTTTGGATAGCCTGGCTGCCCTGTCCCCATCTCCTTTGAAGTCTTTCTGTTGGTAGTTGGTCGATCTCCTGAATCTTGGTCTAGAGCTAGATACCTACGTAAACATGACACTGAACTTCTAATCCTCCTGCTTCCAGCTCCCAAGTGCAGAATGTTATAGGTATGCACCACCACTCCTGGTTTATTTGGTGCTGGAGATTGAACCCAGGACCTGGTGCATGCTAGACAAGCTCCCTCTCTCAACTGAGATAACATCCCCAATTCTGAACCAGAATCCCTGATACCCATTGCCATCCTCCTCATACTTTTACTTTTTTAGTCTTTCACTTCTTAGTAAAAGACAACTGACTTTACCAACTTTTCTTTTACTCTCCTGTTACCAGCATCAAGCTCTACTTACTGAATTTTATAATTTTACACAAGCTGTCACTGACCAGAAATGGTCTTCACTTGGCTGCCTCATTCATTCCTTTGTGGGTTTTTTGAGAGGATGATCTCTTTAGCCCAGGCTGACCTCTAGAACTCACTGTATAGCCAAAGATGGCCTTGAATTCCTGAATGCTAGAATTAAGGCATGCATGAAAATACCCAGGTCCTTAGCCTAGATTTCAGTTATTTCCTCAAGAGAAGAATACATATTACGTATTTTTTTTTTATTTTGTTTTTTGTTTTTCCAGGATGAGGTTTCTCTATATAATTGCCAGCCCTGGCTGTTCTGGAACTTGCTTTATAGACCAGACTGTCCTCAAACTCACAGAGAGCCTCCTGCCTCTTCCTCACGAGTGCTGGGCTTAAAGGCCTGAAACACCACATCTAACACATATTACATATTTTTTAATTATTTATTTGTATTTTATGTACATTAGTGTTTTGCTTGTATATATGTCTGTGTGAGGGTGTTGGATCCCCTGGAACAGGAGTTACAGGCAGTTGTGAGATACCAGTTGGTGCTGGGAATTGAACCCAGATCCTCTGGAAGAGCAGCCAGTTCTCTTAACCATTGAGCAGTCTCCAGCCCTCATATTACATATTTTAATGCAAGCCTCTTTATATTCTTATGGTACCTTAAATTTCTCATAACAGTGCCACAGTTGTCATTTATGTTGGTTAAAAAGTGCTTCCTTTTTCAATAGACTATAAATCTCAATATTTCTGACACTTTGGCGATGTATCTCAGTGATCACTCACATTAGGTCCTTGTTATTTAGTGAGAAATGGGAAATGGTAGAACTAGTGCTAACACGTTATTTCTTTATTCCTAGAGTATATTCTTTCCTTAACCGGTATTGTTTCCGATGTGCTTATTCTGGCATGGTAGAAAGGCTGAAGGAAGATGCAATGGACTGGAATGTCAACAGTGCTCTTTCCACTTGGCTATATAAAAGGACGCAGGGATTGGTTTCTAACACATGATGACAAATTAAAGCTTAGATATTTAGTAGCTTCTAGACTACATGATGTCAAAGTTCCTTTGACTTAAACATACATATGTATGTGAATATATATGTACATATTGAGAGAGAGAATATCTAAATTCTTATCCACTGGTACTGAAAGTATATATTAATAAGACCACTTGGAAATGGTTGGACATTATGTAATACTAATACATATAGCTGTCTAATCCTTGGCCCAAGATTCTGTCCTAGAATAGAACAAACTTACTTCCTTGGGCTCTGGCATCCCCTAAGGTTAGACGGACTTGAAACTAATAGAGTTGGTTGCTTCTGAATGTGTAAGGACTGACACATTAATTTTTAGTACTTTTTTTTTTCCTTGTCTTGACAAAGTCTTATTCTGTAGCCCTGGCTGGATTGGAACTCAATCTAGCCCACGCTGACCTTGAACTTGAAGCAGCCCTCCTGCTTCTCGAGTCTTTATGGCATACCAGGTGGAATAATCTACAAACTTTTATAGATCATATACATACAAGTTTTCTTATACATTTTTAGAGTGAGTTATAACTTCTCATCGTTCATTTTCTTTCTCAACTCAGGAAGTATTTTGGTTTTTCAAGACAGGGTTTCTCTGTGTAGCTTTGGATCCTATCCTGGAACTCGCTCTGTAGACCAAGCTGGCCTCAAGCTCACAGAGGTTCACATGCCTCTGCCTCCCCAAGTGTCGGGATTAAAGGTGTGTGCCACCACTGCCCCACAGAAAGTTCTTTATAACAATATCCTAAATCAGAAATAATGTTGGTATTCAACCTAAAAAAATTCTGGCAAGTTAAAAGATCTGGCTTAGGGGTTGGTGAGATGGCTCAGTGGTTACGAGCTCTTGTTGTCCAATCATTAGAAGTGGAGTTCTGATCCCTGTACCCTTGTGACCCTTACTCTGAAGGTGACAAAGACTAAAGGATTGATGAGGCTTGCTGAATAGCCTCCATGAGAAAATGCCAGGCCTTGGGTTGGGGCAAGTGTGACAGAGGAAGACATGACATGTGCCCAACCACTCAGGTGCATGTACAACTCACATGCACAGACAAACACACGAGTAAATCTTAAAAAAAGACAGGTAAGGTAGCACGTTCCTTTAATCCCAGCACTCCAGAGGCAGGTAGTTCTCTGTGAATTTGAGATCAGCCTGGTCTACACAGTGGGTTTCAGGGCAACCAAGCTACATAGACTGCATCTCAAAAGTCTAGAGAGAGAGATTTGGCTTTGAGATGTATGTTAGAGAATCCCAAACCCATTCTTAGATTTTATCTTAGTTTACATGCTCTGGACCTGTTACAGATTGTTAGGGAGCAGAATACAAAGTAATGATGCTGTCTTGTTTCCTCTGAATGCACAGGACTTAAAAGAGGAGATCGATATTCGACTATCCAGGGTTCAGGATATCAAATATGAACCCCAGCTCCTTGCAGATGATGATACAAGACTACTGCAGCTTGAAACCCAGGGGAATCAAAGTATGTGACAGGCTCTTACGGATGTTTCAGTGAGGAGATCCACAGCTTTAGAACACCTGTAACAACCATCTGTAGTCCTCAGTTACTGCATATATGCCAGATACAAGGAGGCACTTTGTTAATTTACTGTAATCTTGGGGTATTTTGAGAATAAAAACTGAGACTAGTTTTGTTTTTGTTTTTTTTTTTTTTTTTTTTCAGCAAGTTGCTACAACTATCTGTACAGGATGAAAGCTCTAGATGCCATCCGTGCCTCTGGTAAGTTAGCTAATAAGGGGAACTCTAGAATCTAAACCTGGGGAACAGAATGAGTCGCCTTGTTAAGATTTGTCCTTTGTACATCATGGGATTTCCTAGAGTTTTGAAAGTACTAGATTAAAAGAAATCAGTTTGGGTATCCATCCAGGTGTGGTGGTGCACACCTTTAATCCCACAACTCAGGAGACAGGCAAGCAGATCTCTGTGAGTTAAAAGCTAACCTGGTATACATATGGAGTTCTAGGACATGTAGGGGTAGCTACATATAGAGATGCTGTCTCAAAAGAGATAAATCACCTTGGATAATTAATTATTTGTTGATTTTATTGAGGTAGTTTCTGTCTTAGTAGCCCTGACTGTCTTGGAACGCTCTGTAGACCAGGCTGGCCTCAACAGAGATTCACCTTCCTCTGTCTCCCAGATGCTGGGATGAAGGGGGTGTGCCAACACCACCCACTTGGAAATAGTTACAAGCTCACCATGTTTCCAAGGATGACCTTGCACTTCTGAGCCTCATGCTTCTACCAGTGCTGGATTGTAGGCATTTTGCCCCCACACCCAATTTATTTGGTGCTAAGTATAAACCCAAAGCTTCTGGTATGCTGAATAAGCAAGCAAACAGCTGAACTATATCCCCAGCCCAGTTTATGGTTTCTTTCTTTCCTTTTAGTTTTTATTTGTTGGGGGGAAGGGAGGAAACTGGGTTTGTTTTTTATTTTTAAGGCAGGATTTGGATATTGGCCCTGGAAGGCCTCCAACTCATAGAACTTCACCTGCCTCTGCCTACCCAGTACTGGAATTAAAGGCATGCACCACCACACCCTGTCCTTAATTACTATATTTATGTTGTATGTATTGTGTGCCTGCATGAGTTTTTAGGTACTGTATGTATGCAGGTGGACAAAAGGCTATCGATCCCCTGTGATTGGAATTCTGGGAGGTTGTAAGCCTCTAAACCCAGATCTACTACAAGCACAGTAAGTGCTGTTAACTGCTGAGCTTTCTCTGTAGGCACCGGGTTATGGTTGTGAGGTTTTTTTTGGGTTTTTTTTTTTTTTCTTTTCCCAAGACAAGGTGTAGCTCAGATTGGCTTTGAACTAAGTATCCTTCTGCCTTAGTCTCCCAAACATTGGGATTATAGGTATGTGCCAATACACTACACCTAGCACTTTAATTTGTTTTTAAAAGTTTTTCTACTTAGACATTTAATGAATTGAGTGATAATTGTTTTCCCACAAAAGAATGATAGCATCTGCTTTTCCACAAACTCCACGAAAGACAGTTAATGAATTTTTTTCACATTATGTGACTGCTTATCTATTTTTGGGCTGGAAGGATGGCTCAGAGCTTAAGAGCGCTGGCTGCTCTTCCATAGGACTTGAGTTCAATTCCTAGCAACCACATAGTGGCTTACAACCACCTATAATAACATTTGGTGTCCTGTTCTGGTGAAACACTATCATATCTTAAAGCCAAGATGGCCAAATTGTACAGAATAAAAAGGGTATCAATGCATAGAGCTTAGAATTGTGTAGCTACTGCTCAAATGACCACTTGGGCATAACTGTATTCCTCAGATCTTAATTCTATTAGAAACTGTTTTCAACTCATTCATGTCATTAGATGTAGTATTTTATTAGTATATATTAACTTTGCAAAATAGAGGTTTCAAGGTGATAATGGAAGATATTTTTGTTAGTTTGTTTGCTTTTTGAGACAGGATTTCTCTATAGCCCTGACTGTCCTGGAACTTTCTCTATAGGATAGGCTGGCCACGAACTCACAGAGATCCATCCGTCTGCCTCTGCCTCCAGAAGCAGGGGTGTGTGCTGTCACCACCAGGTTTAATTAGAACTATTTCCAAGTTTGGAAAATTGACTAGAAAACAGGTAGACAAAGTATTATTCTCCTGTTGTCTTCTCAGAGATCCCATTTCATGCTGAAGGCCGGCACCCCTGTTCTTTAATGGGTAAGAATTTCCGCTCCTATTTGCTAGATCTACGAAACACTAGTACTCCTTTCAAGGGTGTACGCAAGGCCCTAATTGATACCCTCCTCGATGGATATGAGACAGCCCGCTATGGGACTGGGGTAAGTTGGACAGTTTTTCCTTCAAAGACCTAAAGGGATGGACCACTCCAAACAAAGAGACTGATTTTTCCTTTCTCTTTCCTAAGGTCTTTGGCCAGAGTGAGTACTTGCGGTATCAGGAAGCCTTGAGTGAGCTGGCCACTGTGTGAGTATGGTGGGGCATGTCAATGATGGCTAGTTAGACATAGAGAAGTACAATAAGGAAAAGGATCACAAGGTCTAGTCCAGCCCACGCTACATAGCAAGACCCTGTCTCTAAACAAAGTAAGTGTAGAAGAATATACAAGTGCTAAACTGTTCTCATAGAACTTACCAAATTAACAAGCAGATATTTTGTGCTACAGGCTAGTAAGAGAAACTTCTACTTTGTATGCATATTTTGATAATTTTTATTTTGTGTTTTGTTTTTTTGTCTAGCCCACTAAAATGTCAAAATGATCTGAGCATAGTGGTGCAGGCCTTTAATACCAGCACTTACTAGGGAGAGGCAGGCAAATCTCTGTGTTTGATAGCAACCTGGTCTACATAGCTAATTACTTGACACCTAGGGCTACATAGAGAAGCTATGTCTCAAAAAAACAAAACAAAAGGTCTGAAGAGATGGCTGAGAGGTTAAGAGTACTAACTGGTCCTGCAGATAGATGACCAGGGTTCAATCCCACCATCCACATGGTATATCACAACCATTTGTAATTTCTGTTACAGTGGGATCTGATGCCTTCTGGCCTCCACAGGAACTTGGCATGTATGTAGTGCACATACATGCAGTCAAGACAGCCATACACAGTAAATAAAAATAAACAAATCTTTAAAAAAGAAAAGTCAAAAATAGTATAACTAGCAAAGGAATGAAGTTTTTTACCACATAAGGATTCCTTCTGTTTTAGAGTCCTCTTTATGTGCCTTGGTCCAATAAAAGTAAGAATCCCACTCAACTTTAACCATATAAAGCAGCATAACCCTGCTTTTTTTTTTTTTTTTTTTTTTTTCCCCTTGCAAGACAGGGATTCTCTGTGTAACAAGGTCTGGCTATCCTGGAACTTAACTTTGTAGACCAGGCTGGCCTTGAACTCACAGAGATCCGCCTGCCTCAGCCTCTCAATTGCTGGGATTTAAGGCATGGGCCACCGCCTGGCTTATAATCCTGTCTTTAAAAAGGAACAGCAATATAAAGACTCTGCTTTTGAGCATTTGTTTGTAGAAGAATATGACTAGTGAATGTTTTAAAATAGTTTCATTATGCCATTTAGGCCAGTTGTAAATTACATTCATGTTGAAAAAGGAAAACCAATCTAGAGCTAGTTACCAAGGTCTGGAGATGAGTGTTTGCCAAACATGAATAAGCCCTGGGCTCAGTCCCTAGTCCTGCATAAAGCTGGCCACAGTAATGCACACTTGAAAGCATAGCACTGAAGGTAGAGATGTGAAGACTAGAGCTTCATAGTAATCCTTGGTTATATAAGGAGCTCAAGGCCACTCTCATGACATGAGACTTGGTTGTAACATCAAATAATAATAATAGTAACAAGACTGGAGAGATGGTTCTGCTGTTAAGAGCACTTACTGGTGGTATTCAAAAGCCAGTACCTACATGGTGGCTCCCAGCCATCTATAACTCAAGTTCCAGGGGATCTGATGCCTTCTGACCTCCTTGGGCACTGAGTGTGCACATGGTTCACATATATAACATGCAAGCAAAACATTCATACATAAAAAATTTAACAGCCATAAAAATAATACCTGGTTTCTACTGTGTTCTTTTGTGTAGAGCAATAATGAAAACAACCACATGTATCTTGCTTACTTTTCTGTTGCTGTGATAATTTACTGTGACCAAAGGCTCAGAGTCCATGGCCATCATGAGGGTTAGCATAGCATAGCAGCAGACAGGCCAGCAGGGCACTGGAGCAGTACTGTAGAGCTAACATCCTGATGCACTAGTACAAGGCAGAGAGAGACTGGGAATGTTGTAAATATTTTGAAAGTGAAAAAGCCCACCTCCAATGTGATGCCACATCTAACAAGGCCACACTTTTTTTTTTTTTGTTTTGGGTTTTTTGTTTGTTTTGTTTATTGCTATTTTGAGACAGAGTTTCTCTGTATAACAGCCCTGGTGGCTCTCCTGGAACTCACTCTGTAGACCAGGCTGTTCTCAGAGATCCATTTGCCTCTGCCTCCCAAGTGCTGGGATTAAAGGTGTGCATCACCACCACCTAGCAAGGCCACACTTTCTAATATCCCCAAAACAGTTCCACCAATGGCCTATGGGGGCCATTCTCATTCAAACCAAAATAAATACAAAGCTAGAAAGAGCATTTATCAGTTAGGCAAGGGGTCTGGAGAGATGGTTTAGTGTTTGTAAGAGTGCTTGCTACTCTTCTAGAGGCCCAAAATTTAGTTCCCAGCATCCATGTCAGACAATTCATAACTGCCAATAACTTAAGCTCCAGAGCATCCAACACTTGTTCTGGCCTCCGAGGGCACATGTGGGTAGCCTACATTCACACCAACACATACACATAAAGCAGAAATAAAAATAAGCCTTTAGAAGCTGGAAAGATGCTTAGCAGTGAAGAGTATCTGACTTCTGTGGAGTACCTGGGTTATTGGCTATCACATTGGATGGCTAAGAGTGACCAGTCCAGGTGATATGATACTAACTTCTGATACCTTTGATACCTTTGGGCTCCTGCACATGTGTGGTGCACATAAACTTGTAGGCACATACACAAATAAAAAAATCTTGAAAGAAGTTAGACAGGAAACCTGTTAAAATTCACTTGAGGCCAGCACGCCTTTAATCCCAACACTTGTGAGGCAAAGGCAGGTAGATCTCTGCAATCAAGGTCAGACTGGTCTACAGAGTGAGTTCCAGGACAGCCAGGACTACACAAAGAAACCCTACAAAAAAGAAAAATCACTTGAAAGATAAATGCTGATGTCATTTATATGATCTAAGTGTCAGACTCAAACAGGATATAGAATAGTAGTTGCTAAGACTTGGGAAGGTAAGAAAGCATTATTTAATCAACATAGACATTAGTTTTGTAAAATGGAAAGCATTTTGAAGATTGGCTATACAACATTGTGATTGTACTTAACAGTATTGAAGCATGTACTTTAAAGTAGTCAAGATGCATTTCCAGCCAGTCATAGTGGCACACACCTTTAATCCCAGTACTGAATCTCTGTTTGAGGCTAGCTAGTCTACAGAGTGAGTTCCAGGATTACATACATAAAGAAACCCTGTCCAGGAAACATTTCCTATGTATTTCATTAGATATTTTCTTAACTAGAGCCAAGTATAATGGCCCACTGCCTGTAAGGCCAGCCTGGTCTGCATAATAAGATCCTTTCTTTCCTTTCTTCCTCCCCACACCCCAAAAAAAGAAAGGAATACGATGGAAATAAGGGCTTTATTTTCCTGTCACACCTAAATTATCAAATGGTTTTAGTATTGAGTTGTTTTAGATATTGTTGTGAGGGTTTTTTTTTTTTTTTGGTGGGGGTGCTCATTTTGTGCCTGTGTGTGTGTACACGCCTATATGCATGTATGCGCACACGCCTATGCACTCATTGGTGTGTAACAGATCTTGTTATATAGACCAGACTGACCTTGATATTTGATGATCTTTCTGCCTGCTGGAATTACAGGTGTGTGCCATTGTTCATACCTTGCTTAGTAACTGGTGAAATACATAACAGACCATTTTAGTTTTACTTATGGGGTGGATTTTTAAGATTTATGTTTTAGTTTTAGTTATGTATAAACATATGCAGAGGTTCTGGCCTGGAGCTAGTTATAGACACCTGACATGGTTCCCAGGAATTGAATTCTGGTCCTCTGGAGGAGCAGTATGTGCTCTTAACCACTAAGCCATCTCTCTAGCCCCTTTCTGATAGTTCCTACTCTGTTCATGTCTTCTGTGTATTCTTCAGGGTCAAAGCACGAATTGGGAGCTCTCAGAGACAGCACCAATCAGCAGCCAAAGACCTAACTCAGTCACCTGAAATGTCGCCAACAACCATCCAGGTCACATACCTCCCTTCCAGTCAGAAGAGCAAACGCCCTAAGCACTTCCTGGAGCTGAAGAGCTTTAAGGACAACTATAACACATTGGAGAGTACTCTGTGATGGAACTGCAGGTGCTACCTGTGCAGCCTTTGAGCTGTCTGGCTCAGCAGGCCCAGACTTTACCAGCCAAAGCTCCTGTTGAGGCCAGAGTTCTTTCAGCTGTGTCTGAAAGGTCATTTCCCCAGCCCTTTCTTAGAGCTGTTTTCAAGTATTGGCTAAGACATCTTTATCTCCCAGCAGCACTTTTTCTGATTTGAATTCAGATGTCATTAATGTTTGTGTCAAAGCCTCCTTGAAGATCTTCACTTGTTTTTGACTGTAATTCATTACCCTGTGCAATGCTATTTAGTCCCAAGTGTAAATTGAGATGTCCTCTATGTCTACCCTGTTGCACTCAGTTGAATAGAAATCTCAGATTTGATTGAAAGAAAAGCCAGGCAGGTCCTCATGAGGAAGAGGGAGGGAGGAAGTGTGTAGAATGTCCTCTGGAATTTTGGTGCTCGATTTAAACCAGGTGTGTTAAGACATGAACACGACTTTCTTGAAGTGGAAGGGTCTGTCCTGCCTTCATCCAATACTGTTGTGACAATTAAAAAGGAATATTATGGTACTTGGTATAACCTATGACAAGATGGTGAGACAATATGAAGTGGCTTTCTCTGTCAGCATATTAGTCTCAGTTTACAAAGTATTTAATAAAATTACAAAAAAAATTTTTTTTTTGTTTTTTCCTTCGGAGATAGGATTTCTCTGTGTAACACTGACTGTCCAGGGACTAGCTTTGTAGACCAGTCTGGCCTCAAACTCACAGAAATCCACTTGCTTCTGCTCCCAGTCCTGTGATTAAAGGAGTATGCCACTACCTCTGACCATGAATCATTTCAATGGGCTTTAAAACAACAATTTGATGTGTGTCTGCATTTCCCTTACTGAGCATAGGGTGTGAAGCTTTGCTGCCAGAAACTGGTTGGACTGTGTATCTGGATCTAGACATTGAAAATAGTCTGAAATCCTGAAATAGGGACTATGTGGCTCATGCTCATAACCTGGTCTTGTCACTATTAGAAAGCTAGAGAACCAAGATTCTCTTTAAGTCGGTCACCAGGACAACAGGCCAAGTAGCCAGTCAACTCACAGGACCAGGGTCATTGTTGGACGCCTAAATGTTACTATGACTACTGAAACCTTGGTGACCAAACTAAACAGAAAGGAGAGCCTTCTCAGTGGCCTCAGAAACATCATGTCTATAGATATGTCTGCGGAAAAAATGACAAAATTAGAAGAGGTATGCAGAGTTGGAAGGAGGGTTGGAAGTTGGAGGAGTTTCCCTTGGTGTGGTTTCCAGGTGGGTTTACCCAAAGTATAGCATTCCTGAGAAAGGCTTAGTAGAGTGCAGGAGAGTCAGCAAAAACAAGAAACTACTTTTGGAACAGGAGCTGTTCACAAATGTCCCACTCTGACCACTGTATTTTCTCATTTGTTTATTCTGAGAAAGGTAGAGCTTTCCCACTTTCCCCTAAGAAACTACTTCATTCCTCCAACGTAGGTACTATGCTCAGATTCTAGTAATGAAGGCAGATGAACATAACTCACTTCTGTTGCAGAATTTGCAAAGAGCCGTGGCACTTAAGAAGATGGTCAACAGGTAAACTGTGTTTCCATCTCCTCTCAGTTTGTCTTTTTGACTCTCCTCTCCCTGAGCCACTGTCCAAATCAGCTCTCCTTGGGAACTCCTCAAGAAAGAAAACATGGAGCCGACGAGGCAACCTTATTCTCGGAGTAAATGGAGATGAGCATGTTAATGCCTAATAGATGACCCATTTGTTCCTGTGCCTGCCTCCCAATCTTTTCAGGAAAGACACAAGTGTTAGTTCTGCCTTTCTTTTTTCTTTTCTTTTTTTTTTTTTTTTTTAAGAGCATGTGTTATGTGTTACTTGCCTGGCTTTGTACTAATTAGATAACATATTTAAATAGTTGTTGAACAATACCTGGAAAACTGAACTATGTATTTCACCTGCTAAGATTTTGCCTTTGGTGCATTGGGGTATTGAATTCAGGACTTTGTGGTTCCTGGGAATTGAACTCATGACTCTGGAAGAGCAGTCAGTGCTCTTAACCTCTGAGCCATCTCTCCAGCCCTGGATCCAGGACTTTGTGCATGGAGGTGCTCTAACCACCAGCTATCCCTCTAACCCTGTGCTTTTTAAAAATGCTGGCAGAAGCAGGACATGGAGGTTCATGCCTATAATCCCAGTACTTGGATGAGCATGAGTCTAAGGAGCCAGCCTAGGTTACAATGTGATTGATACACTCAAAAAGCCACAAATGGAGGCCCAGTATGTTGAGTGGTAAATGCTTTTAATCCCAACACTAGAGAGGGCAGAGACAGGTAGGGCTCTTGAGTTTGAGCCCAGACTAGTCTACATAATTCCAGGGAACCAGGGTTATATAGTGGGACATTCTTTTAAGAGGTGAGTGGGGGTGGCACAGGAAGCTCACTAGTAGACTGCTTGCCTAGCACACATAGAACCTTGGGTTTATTTCCCAGCATTCAGGAGATACAGATAGGATCATCAGAAGTAGTTCAGGGTTAGCTACACAGTGAGTTGGAGGCCAGCCTGGCCTACATGAAACTGTCTTTTTAAAAAGGTAGATGGGCTATGATGATACATGTCTTTAATCCCAACACTAGGGAGGCAGAGGCAGGCAGATCTCTTGAATTCAAAGCCAGCCAGAACTACATAGAGAAACCCTGTCTTGAAAAACAGAAGGTAAACGAACTGAGACCAAATTCTGAGACCTAGGTGACATGACTTAGCTTGTGTGTGTGTGTGTGTGTGTGTGCACTTTAACAGCTGACAGCTCTGTTCGTGGTATGATTCAGTAACAGTGCAGTTACTGAATCTAAGTCCATTCTAGCTACCCTTTCAAGAGCTTTGCAGTCTTCTGACACTGGCAGAGGTTCTGGTCACAAAGCAACCACATTAGTAAGGATTTGTGTCTACCCCTAACCCACTTAATCCTCACCTCTAAACCTGGGACAGGTGGCAGAATTCACATACTCACTGTATGTGGCAGATGACAATGAGCCAACGGAGAAACCTGTATGCTACCCTAAGGATGCAGGATACTATGGAACAGGAATTAGCACTGTCCAACAAACAGCTGCTGATGGTGAGTTCAGGAGGGCAGCCTGGAGTCTACCTCTTTCCTGTTCTACAACCCTGCCAGCTGGCATAGCAAGCTCTTCTGTCATGATGTTTGCCTCAGACTTTTCATGATTTTTTGTTATTTTTCATTATTTTTATCAGAACATTAACATCAAATAAATCTCAGTGACTTTTTTTTTAATTTTTGCATTGTTTACAGATGGCACTCCTTGTTTAGTTTTGGGTTTAATGAAGCTTTGTTTTCTTGGGTTCTTTGTGTTGGGTTGTGTTTTGTTTGAAACAGTCTTCACTGTGTTCCCCTAGCTGACCAGAAATTTGCTATGTAGACCAGGCTGGCCTTCATGAGCTAAGAGCTCCACCTGCCTATGCCTTCTGCATGCCAGGATAAGTGCACCATCACACTCAATGGGGATGGGAGGGTTGGTATTTTGTCTATTTTTGAGATAAGGTCTTCCTCTGCATCCCAGTATGGCCTAAAACTTGCTGACATCCAGTCTCAGCCTCCCATATGCTGAAATTATAAGCATGTCCCATCACCCTGCTGTAGGTAACACATTTCCAATTCCCAGTGCATTGTTTGGCTCTTTTCATCCAGCTTCTCTTCTCCACCTGAGGTGGCAGTTGCCATGTCCTCTTTTAGTATCTTGAGTACCTGGCAGGTTTTCTAGTTCATGGTGCATTCTCAGCAAAATATTTATTGAGCAATGAGTATTCACCCAAAGATGGGGAAATTACTCTCTTCTACTACCTCCTTTTATGATCCTGCTAAGCCCAGGTCCAAGGGAATACAAGGATGGGGAAGGCAACCAGAGACTGAAAGGAGCATTAAAGAACCAACTGCCTTCCCTACCAGGTCCGTCAAGCTGCCTTACACCAGCTGTTTGAAAAGGAACATCAGCAGTACCAGCAGGAGCTCAGTCAGATGGGCAAAGCTTTCTATGAGGAGAGACTCTGACACCACCTAAACACTGCTCTTCCCTCATGCTGCCAACCCTTCTGGTCAGCGTGGGATGTTGCAGTATTGTAAGGGGAGAGAATGCACAATGGTTTGATTTAACAAATAAAGCATACTCTTAAAAGTTGAGATTTAGACCACAGAATTTATTTTCAGCCCCAAGTCTTGATTTGTTCCTGGCTGCCATAGTTTTACTTCCTAGATTCTGAGCACTGCTTTTATACTGGCTGGTCTTATCAACTTGACACAAGCTAGAGTCATCAGAGAGAAAGGAGCCTCATTTGAAAAAATGCCTCCATGAGATCCAGCTGTAAGGCATTTTCTCAATTAGTGATCAATATGGGAGGGTCCATCCATGGTGAGTGGTGTCTTGCCTTGCCTGGTGGTCCTGGGTTCTATAAGAAAGGCTGAGAAAGCCATGGGAAGCAAGCCAGTAAGAAGCAGCTCTTACCTCCAACTTCCTGCCCTGTTTGATGACTCCATTTGTTGATGAACAGCATTGTGAAAGTGTAAACTTAATAAACCCTTTCCAACTTGCTTTTTGGTCATGGTGTTTTGTCCCAGCAATAAAAAATGATAAGACAGCCTCAGACTTTGGTTTTACTGATATTTTCTGAATTCATGGACAAATAGCTTTAATCATGGCTGTTAGTCTTTGGGCACTGTGGTGCTTGAGTATCAGGGGGGGCTGAATTTTATGTTTGAAAGTCATCTCATTATTGTAAAAACATGAATTAGCCTCTTCTAGACCTGAATTCCTACTCCAACTCTACAAAACAGAGGATTCCATACTAAATCCCTTAAGGCATTGGGTGTACAATGTAGCAGGTGGGCTTGAAGGGCTGGAAAAAGCATGTCCATTCTCAAGGTCTTTGACACTGAAAATCCTGGAAAGTAATAACATATGCACCAGTAGGCCACAGGGAAACAAATGACATTCAGAGACCCCCATTTCAGTCAGCTTCTGGGAGAGTATGTCCTCTGATGTAATTGCTATACTTTCACCTAAACTCTCACCTTTCATCAATAGTGTCATTGGTCACTCATCTGTGCCATAGGATCTTTCCCTACCCTCAGCTTCATGTGGATGTGTCCCCACTACAAAACTCCTCCTCTCCCCTCCAGTCTGTCTCTACCCTTGGTCTCTCATCAAAGCCTGCGTTTTTCAGTTAGCTGTTGGAAGCTACTTTCTGCCCAGCCACATTCTACCCAGGAAGACCATGGAGAGGCAGCAAATACAAAGAGAACAGCACAGTCTTCAGTTACAGGGTCACAATACAGGACCCTTTCTTGGAGAGGACAGTCCCACCCGCTAGGATTGTCTTCAGGATTAAACAGGTAAGTAGGTAGTGAACACAAGCCCAGTGACTGGCCAAAAATAGCCACCAGACCCTGGCCTGGTAGTCCTGTGGCTAACCCACATCCAGCTCAATGTCATTGTTCATCACACACTTTTCCCTCTCTGCCCTCATCACTGATGCCTCCTAATCCCTCATCATTGGTTACCAGACATGACTACTTACATCAAGTGAAATGGAGCTCCCAGGCTGGTAGGGAAAGCAGGCTGCGAGCAGTAATTACAGATGGACTATGAGTTTTGTAGGAGATGAAGCCACAAACACCTCACCTGAATTTGACAAACGAGACTGCATTTCCATTCCTTCTATCTGTTCCTGGCCTGTGTTCATCTGATCTAAACCATCCTCACCTCTCTCTCAGCTTGCTTCTTTCTTACCTGCTTATCTATCCACAGGTAGAGTTAAGAGAATAATGGCCAGATGGATTTAGTCTTGCCCTGTCACTTAGGGGGTGTTTGGCTTGATGCAATTTTAATATTGGGGGCTGGGGTGAGGCAGTTTTCTGGAGAGATGGATCAGTGGTTAAAAACATTGGCTACTCTTGCAGAGAACCCAAATTGGAGTCCTAGCATCCATATGGCATCTCACAATTGTTTATAACTCTAGTTCCAGAAGATCCAGTACCCTTTTCTGGCCTCTACGGACAGACATGCAGACAAAACACCCATGCACACAAAATATTTTTTAAGAATTTAAATCTGAATTTTGGCTGCTGATTTATAAAATGGAGCCAATCTCTACCTTATAGGGTTGCCGTGGGAACAAATCACACTTAATATATAATATAAACAGGAAGCCATTACACTATCTTGCTACTCAATGGTACTTTCTCTCCTTATTTCCACTTCCACTACACTCTATAACCAGCCTTTTTGATTTCTCTGTTCATTTGGACATGATGGATGCTTCATCCCGTGCCTGGATCTCTGACCTTGGCCGATTACCTCAGGGCTCGTCAGTGCCATGTTGGCTCTATTATTGGCAGGTTGGCCCATAATCACACCCATCTTCCCTAACCCGCCCTGCCAATTCTATGTGCTCTCATCACATAACTCAATTTGTCCCTGTTGCTTCCATAGCTGATATTACACCCTGGGTCTTGTGGCTTAGAAGGACTTAGACCTATTTGAAATAGCTACAAAAAAAAAAAAAAAAAAAAAAAAAAAAACAAGATGAAGAAGAAGAAAAAGGAGGAGAATGAGGAGGAGGAGAAGAAGAAGAAAACCCACAGAACTCAGAAGGAAGGCACAGTGGGTAAAGTCCCTTGCTTTCCAGGCCTGATGATCTGAGGTTGACTGAAGAACCCACATAATTAAGAAAAGAATAGACTCCTGGAAGTTGTCCTCTGACCTTAACATAGGCACAATAACACAGCCACAAAAATATAAAAGTGTAGTTTAAAGAAAAAGGACTGCTGACGTGCCTTTATCAGGCTTCATGTTTCTTCCTAATTGTGCCATCTAAAGTCTTCCTCCACACACCATTCCAGACTTCCTTTGTTCCTCTAGTCCCCTAACTAATGTTTTCAATACCTTTTGATCTTTTGAGACAGAGTCTCTCTGTGTATCCCTGGCTGTCCTGAGCTCACTATGTAGACCAGACTAGCCTCATACTCAAAGATCTGCCTCAAGTTCTGGAATTAAAGGTGTGCAGTGTATCACGTAGCAAACCTTCCATTCTTGCTAGTCCCTGTCCAGTCTCTTTTTATTCCTCCTCTGTTTTCCCATTGTTTCAGGGAAAAAAATAGAACTTGAAAGGTGAGAGTTAAGAATAAATGGAAGGCAAGGATATAAATATTCCATATTCACACACAGAACTTTGGGAACTACAAAAGAGAAAACACAATGCCACAAGTGCCTATCTTGGGACCTAGGCCCATTTATTAGTCTTTCCCTGGAAGGCAAGTGCCACACAATTGGAATTGATTGAGCACTGGGACAAGCTATTGATCCAGATCAAAGTCACTGTGGAGTGGGTGTATGGGGGAGGGAGATGCCAGGATGAATGGGAGCAAGGACACATGGAACATGCCTGGGGACTGATAGAAGGTGTCCTCCCACCTCCCTACACTTCTATACAAGCCCCCACCCTCCATACAGCTATAACTTGGGCTCCTTTCTGCCACAGTGAATGAAGCAGCCACTTGCCAAATGATGCTCCACAGACCCAATTCTCTCCAAAATGGGGGTGGAGGGGAGAAGAGGACCATGTTGAATCTCTGTGAAGGAAGAGCCTTGGAGAATCCAGCCCAGGAGCTCTGGTAATAAAAAAGCTGCAGAAAAGAAGGGGGTCCTGAGGGCTGCAGGCCACTTCTTGGCAGAAGCTGTTCCCTCTTCCTCTTGATCTAAGCCTTAGTTTCAATTTAGCCAGGCAGAAGCTATCTGGAGCCCAGACCGAAGCCTGTGAGTGAGACAGCTTCTCTGTTCTGGACATCCAATGATAACTTGAAGGAGGGTGCCTAAAGGACATGAGGAGGGACAAACTTCAAGATGTCAAAAAGGAGCAGCCCAGCATTTCAGAAGATCCTGGGACTGCTGTGAAGTTGGTGTCCACTGAGAAGATCAAGCAGTCTCAGGAGAAAAATCAGGGAAGGTTACAAGTTTACTTGGAAAGGGAAAGCAGAGTTTATGCAAACCCCTAACCCTGCCCCCCGGGAAGCCCAGGGCAGCTCAGATGGCATTGAAGGGCAGGTGGCAAAGCTGTTGAGGAGCTGTTGACACTGGTGATCCTCTGGAAGCTGATGCTGTCACACAACAGGGTGAAGCTCCATATGGGAGCTTTGGGAAATGGTAAGTGCCCGGATATGAAGCCCTGCCCAGTGTTCTTGCTTTAGGCAAACATGGTCCAGCAGACACCAGACACAGTGGAAGAAGGGTTGTGGCAGGAAGAATGGCTTGAAGGACAGATGAGCCAGAACGTGTTTTGGGAGGGGAAGAGCAAGGGTCAGTGCCCTTGAAGAAGCTGGTTTCCATCTGTACATGACTAGGCTCTGATTTGTCATCCCTGACCTTTCTTCAGAGCGGGGAGAAAGGCAGATCATAACCAAAGCTCGCCTGCCTGCTTCTGTGTGATATGTTTGATATTGGGTTGTTAAGTTAGGAACCAACTAAATGTCAAACATTCTCACAGCAGTAAGGAGACTCGGCATCACCCCCTCTGCTACTTCAGCCCCTGGGACTCTGAGACTCTTACCTGTTTTTTGAGTTTTTTGTTTGTTTGTTTGTTTTTGCTTTTGTTTTGTGCTTTTTGTTTGTTTTGTTTTGAAACAGGGTCTCTCTATGTAGCCCTAGAACTCACTATGTAGACTAGGATAGCCTTGAACTCACAGAAATCCTCACGCCTCTGCCCCCTGTATTAAACGAATGTGTTCCCATGTGCCTGTTGTCTTTTGTTGTGTTTGGGGGTGGGGTTGTTTTGTTTTGTTTCTTGAAATGTTGGCAGTTGAGTTCAAGGACTTACAGATGCTAGGCAAGTGCTCTACTACAAAGCTATAGCCACAGCTTGCCTGTGGTTTGTTTTACTGAATTTCTCTCCACAACTCCGCTGAAAGAGAAGTATCTGGAGCCCATGTTAACCTGGAAGGATCATATAGAAGTGGGAGAAAGCTGAAATCTGGGGATCAACTCTATATCAACTCTCTCTCTCTCTCTCCACACACACACACACACACACACATACAGAGGCACGCGCGCACACGCACACACACATCTTGCCTCTTATAGTAGAGAGGGATACAGCTTTTTCTTTCCTAGTTCTCTTTGTTCCTGACCCCCCTTTCCTTGATTGGCCTGAAGTAGTACTTGGTTTCCTTGCTTTCTTCCAGCAGTTAGTAGGTGGTCTATCTAGCAGTCTGTCCACTCCTGATGTGGAGAGGTTCTCATGAGTTAGACAGCTCTGCCCTGCCCCCACCCTGATGCTGGACTCAGTTACCACACTGCTTCGGTTTAGCCTTACACTAACTATCCTTGACCTTATGAACTAATTAGAACCATTTCTATTTTCCCCACTACCCTTGGTCACCTTGAGCAGTGTCCACTTCTCTGGCACACTTGGGTATATGGCAACTGTGTATGGGATCAATTGCCACCTGTCAATAACAAGATTCCAAGTGGAATTATGAACATGGCTGTCACTACACTGGGGAAAATAGGCATGGTGGACAGTAGGCTGGGCAGGGGTTTACAAAGGGAGCAGTTGAAGAGAAGCAGTAGAAAGCAACACAGACTTTGGGACAGGTGGGTATGAAAGTTCTATTTTAAGAACATTATGAGAAAACAGAAGTCATGACCTTGTACTGAGACCCTCCTTATGTTTCACCCCACTTGAAGCCCTGGGATAGCCTTTCAGATCCTAACCCTCCTACTCTACCCTATAGTTCTTACAGGCCGATGTCTCCCTGCCAATTAGAGAATCCCAAAATAGCACAGCAATTCCAACTGGCAATCTGGGGGAATTGTCAAGGATCATGATTGACCTCCCCTCTTCACTGTTGCTCATGCTCCTAAAATACCAGGAATCAAAGATGAAACTCAACCAGTAAGTAGAGTTTGGTTAATATCCAAAACAGTCTAGGGTAAAATGAGAGAGCTGAAGGCAACTAGGACCCTCTGGCAGCTAGAGCTGCCCAGGAACCCTTCTCTATTTCAATGTTCTCCCTCCTCTGTCCCTCCACTTCTGAAAGACCCACAGAGCTGCCAAGAATGAGTGGAAAGTTTCAAGGTCAGCCTCCCACCACCCCCACCTTCCATTGTCTAAAATCAGCCTCAGCTGTCCCTCAATATTTTTTTTTTCCTTGCTGGTGATGTCAGTCTGTCAATGCCTGTGACCCTGTGTTCCCCCAGGAGAACAATGATGGGTTGGGAGGGAGCTTGAAAGACCATGTTAGGAATAAGAGGTGGAGCCATGACCACAGATAAAGGTTCAAACTTGGACAACTTCTAGCCACTCAGGTGGCAGCCCTTCCTTTCTTCCCTAGTGTTCGTTCACAGGTGAGCCCACCAACAGTCACAACTCATGATGGAGGCCATCAAGAAAAAGATGCAGATGCTGAAGTTAGACAAGGAGAATGTTCTGGACCGTGCTGAGCAAGCTGAAGCTGAGCAGAAGCAGGCAGAAGAAAGAAGCAAACAGGTAGGCACTGGCATTGCCCTTGCTAGTTACAAAACAGAGGTGGGCCTTTAATCCCAGCGCTCAGGAGACAGAAGCCAGCTTGGTCTACACAGCGAGTTCCAGGACTGCCGGAAAGACACAGAGAAACCCTATCTTGAAAACAAAAAGAGAGAAGAAGAAGGAGAGAGATGGAAATGGTGGGGGAATGGTTGGTTTTCATGGGAAAATGGAGGGGCAGAGAACATTTAGAGTAGTGGTTCTCAACTTGTGGGTCATGAACCTGTTACGTTTCGCAGGGGTTGCCTAAGACCATCAAAAAACATATTACTATTAATAACGGTGGCAGCAAGTTTATAGTTATGATGTAGCAACAAAATAATTTTATGGTTGGAGGTCACTGTGGTATGAGGGTTGCAGCATTAGGAAGGTTGAGATCCACTCCTCTAGGGTATCCACCTTAGACTGACTGTTCATATGACCTTGAGAAAGCCAGTGGCTTCTTCTGTGCCACAGCATGCCTGCTGGACTTTAGAAGTAGACCATATTTTAGAAGAATGTTTCACTTCTAGAGTAAAAGGTAAGAGCATGCTCCATTTTTTTCTCTCTCTCTCTCTTCAACGTTTACCATCCAATAGTCTAGGATGAAATCTCCAGACTTGGTCATCTTGGGGCCAGAAATTATAGAGTCTGATGTCAAGCCATAGCATAAGGCATTGAACAGTGCTGGAAAAAGTGTGTCTCTCTTTGTGGGGTGGTTGATAATGTGGAGGCTGAGCTCAGAGGTCTTTAGAGTCCAAGCACACATGGATGTGTTTATGTCTCTGGTTACTCTTTGGGCTCCTACAGTTAGAGGATGAGTTAGCCACCATGCAGAAGAAGCTGAAAGGAACAGAAGATGAGCTGGACAAGTACTCTGAAGCTTTAAAGGATGCTCAGGAGAAGCTGGAGCTAGCGGAGAAGAAGGCAGCTGATGTAAGTATGAGGGAGATGGTTTCCTTGTGGGTTCACTGGCAGAGGGTACATAGCCAACATAATGCTTTTGCATGTAACATGCTGGCATGCTCTTATATTGGAACAGACTTTTCTTACTTAAAGACACATTGAAGCTGAGAGCACAGTTCAATGGTAGTGTCACTTTCCTAATGTTTATGGATCCCTGGGTTCTATGCCAAGCACTGGGAGAAAAAAAAAAGAGACATATGGCAATCTCATTTCTATACTATTCAACCTCCTTCCGTAATTTAATGACCTTTTCTAGGACCTGGACAAAGGGAGGAGCTTCCAAGTCCAGATGCATGCTATCAGGTGTCCACCTCCTCCCCCATGCCACATTCTTAGCTTTTGTGTACAAGGTTTGGCATGTGCTTGTGTGTATTAATAGGGAACCTCTCATCTCTCAATTACCCAACAAAGCCAGCTTAGATTTCACAATAGGAAATGGAGGTCACATTGACCCTGACCCTATATGGGTATATTTGTCCTGGTCAAGTTGGGCATCTGCCCTGCCACAAAGATGCTACAGGGAACCCTGATCATAGGAGAGCTGTGAGCTATCAAGGATGGACTATAATAGAAACTGGGAAGCAGGCAAAGGTATGGCCCCAGACCTTACCTAATGGTTCTGAATAAACTGTACAGTTCTTCAGGGCTTTTCTCTCTTAAAATTAAAAACCTTTACTCACTGCCTATTATAATTTAGCACCTGCTTTCCTTCATCAACCTCAATGCTTTCTGCAAAGAGAAATAGTCAACTATGTAGGATGACTGTTTTGAAGAAAAGTATCAGAGGATTGTTTACATTTATTACTTTTTAATTGCGGTGCTGGAGATTAAATGCAGTACCCCCTGGATTGACCTAGCTCATAGGGATCTTAACAGTAACAAAAAGATATGTCATTTACACAGGCATTTCTTAGCCTCTGGGTGAGGAGAAAATAGAAGCCAATGTTATTTTAAATCACATTTGGTTTTGGGAAACAGTTAAAGGACAGAGTGGATGGCTTACAAATGCGTTTAGATCCTCACATTCAGCCTCTGCCATGGGGAAAGTGCTCTTCTCTTTGATTCTTCACTTTCAAAGACTGAGACATAATGAATGTTAGAGTACATGACATCAGAGGTTGGAGATGTAAACAGGGGAACATGCACTATACACAGTCATAGTTTATAAAGTCCTATCCGTTACACACTGCTATGTCTCTGTTTTGGGAAAAATAAAAAAACAACACTATGTTGTTTCCACGATTAAGCAGGTACTTGAAGGCCTGCTTGAATTGCTGAGCCCAGCTTATGGGCACAGATGGATAGGTCTCTCTGGCCCTAAATATGGAGGCTGGAGGACACTTTTCACAAACTATAACTGTGTTAGGTTAAGTTTTGTGAGATGTTAAGTAACACTTCCCTGGAAAGGTCCTTAGCCAGAAAGAGCTAAGAATCAGGACAAGAACTTGGTTTGGTGTCATACAAACCTTGGGAAAAGGAGAGGGAAAGGGTCCCAGAAAGAATGCCAATATATTCAGAAGGATAATTGAATTTCCTAGGGGCGAGTTTTACCAATTGTAGGATGTTTTGCACATAGGAGCACAGCACACACACGAAAACACACATACTCTATACAAACACTGTCTTACCACTGTATTTGTTTGAAAGAAGCTTCTTCATATTTACATAGAAATTCTCAAAATTTTTGTTTGTTGAGACAGGGTTTTTCTATGTAGTTCTGGAAATCACGCTGTAGACCAGGCACCCTCAAACTCAGAGATCTGCCTGCCTTTGCCTCCTGAGTATTGGAATAAAAGGCCTATGGTACCACTGCCTATTAAAAAATATTAGAAATTCTGTCTAAAATTTTTAAATCTTCAACCTTGTCACCTTTTTCACATAGCCAGTGAGTACCCTCATAGAGATGTACAATAATAAGAAACTAGCTGATCATGGTGGCACACGCCTTTAATCCCAGTACTCAGAAGGCAGAGGCAGGTGGGGCTCTATGAGTTTGAGGCCAGCCTAGTCTATATGGTAAGATAAGCCCTGCCACAGCCTGGTTTTGTAAGTAAGGATGTATTAGAACACACTCATGCTCTCCCGTTTATATATTATCTAGGAGATTTCTCCCTTCAATAAAATAATTGCTGCAGAGTCTGTATGACCTGTTAAGCCAGGCATTCTATCTGGCCCTTTACTGAAAACTTGCTGACCCTCAACTTCAAGTACAAGAAAGAAAGTTGGGTGTCTACAGAATTGGGAAGAGTGCTGAACAAGGAAGGGCACAGAGACTTAACTAGAAAGCGAAGATCAGAATGTGTGCCCTCTGTGGAAAGGGTGCTTGTCTAACACAGAAAAGGATCACAGCTCAGTTGCTGACCTTGAGATTAGTAAGTAAGCAAGCAACATATTATCTGGTTGTAACTGTATTGGGGAGAGAGGGAGGAGGAAGCCAATAACTACATATTTACACTGGCAGTTTGGGTTATCTGAGAAGCCTTTCTGAATGTGTAGGATTTTCCAGGGCTGCTTGAACAAAGAAAGGGCAAGGCTGTGGCAAGGTCAGCCCAATCTTGTGTTTTTTTTTTCTTCCCAGAGTTTAGTTACTATTATAGTTTAAAATTGTAGCAAAATATACATACACAATGTGGTGGTGCACACCTTTAGTCCCAGCATTTGGAAGGCAGAGGCAAGCAGATCTCTTGAGTTTGAGGCCAGCCTGCCTGATCTACACATGGAGTTTCAGGACATTCAGGGACACATAAAGAAACGCTGTTTCGAAAAATTGTGTGTGTGTGTGTGTGTGTGTGTGTGTGTGTGTGTGTGTACATGCCTGTACAACATAGCATGTCATCTTTCCAACCCATAAGATCCAAGATGAAATCAGAAGCTTTTTAGGGAGAAACAAGAGGAAAGAAGAATGCAATGGGTAGGCCTTAGCACATGCGAGTCATAACACCCTTTTTTTAGGAACATGTGTTGGGGGGTATGAGGAAAGGAGAGAACAGGGATGGACAGATGTTGTGTTGTTTGTCACCAGGAAAACTACAGCACTAGTTGGTCTCCCTGGTGCCCATCCATCATGTCTCTACAAGCTATTGGGAGTCTGTCTACCCATCTGCTTCCCTGGATCAAGAGATTATCTGTACAAAGGCACCAGCTTCAGAAATGCAATGCAGTATTGGCTCAACTTTGGTTTGCCTAGGATGAGCTCTAAGGGTACAGAGAGGTATAACAGTGCCACCTGCTGGTCAGCACTCAGATGACAAAATTTTCACCAGCACTCCTGTGAAGACACTCATTCAAAGCAAGCTTGAGAAATATGTTTTTCTGTCTTAGTTTTGGGGGAGGCTGGTGGGAATCAAAGTGTACAGGATACTCTACTGAGAAAATTATTGCTCACCCAATTTGTTTCTTCTGAGTAGTTTCACAGCAGTCTTTTTTTTTCTCCCCAAAAGAAGGGAGCTTCCTGAAAACCAGGATCAGAAAGGACAGCAGTGTCTTATTAAACCCAGAGTCTCCACAGACCCCAACCCAATTAGTATTTTTAGTTCTAAGTCTTACTCCACATCCCATTTCTCAAGGGAAGAGAAGAGTTGTATCAAAGGAGGAATTTATCATTATTTCTTTCCGAGGAGGGGACAGAAATACAGAGAAATAAAGATAGGGTGTGATGGTTCACACCTGATTAAAGAAGTATCCAGAGCTTAAGACCAATCAGGGCTACAAAAGTGAGTTGAAGCCAACCAGGACTACCTGAGACACCATCTCAAAAAATTAAAACAAGGCCGGGCAGTGGTGGTGCACGGCTTTACACCCAGCACTGGGGAGGCAGAGGCAAGTGGGTCCCTGTGAGTTCGAGGCCAGCCTGTTCTACAGAGCGAGTTCCAGAACAGACTGCAAGCTACAGAGAAACCCTGTTTTTTTTGGGGGGGGGGGAATCAAAAATGAAAACAAAGCAAGCATAAAAGCAAGCAAGCAAACAAACAAACAAAAAACTAGACTAGCAAAGAGAAAACAATAAACCTCTTTACAGTTGTGCTCTCAGAAATCCTGTACATAGGACCTGTAGAAGTAATTGAAAGAAGTGGCAGGAAAACGAATGAAAGTTATTACAGTTTAGAGGTTAAATTCCACAATAGTTTTCCAGATACTTATATCTTGCTGCTGCACCAACAATATGATAATAGGGAGCCATAAATAATGAATTCTTCCTGACAGAATAGAGATATAGTATCTTGGCTACAAAAGGGGTTGTACATGAAGATTAAATTACCAAGTCCTAAATCATTCCAAGGGTCTAAGGGGCTGGCTGGCAGGTAAACTGATCGTGCATACGGACTGGTATTCTAACAGAACAGTTAAATTCACACCTGGCCTTATAGATGCCCATTTGCCCCACTAGTCTCTTTCACCCCTTTATTGACTTCCAGGAACTGGGAGAGAATCTATCTGAATAGTTTTGGGTTTTGTTTTGAGACAGGGTTTTATATAGTTCATCAGATTAGCCTTGGATTCATCATCTAGCCAAGAATGACCTTGAATTCTTTATCTCCACCCCTCTAAGTGCTGAGATTACACATACTTGCCACTATGTCATTTTCCACACTTCTGGAGATCGAGTGTAGGGCTTCGTGCTCAAAAAAACTGAGCAATACCCACAACCCTCTCAATAGATTTTCAAGGAGCTTACTGGGACTCTTTGCAAGAAGAAGTCTAGAGTCTTTTAGGCTTTTCTCAGAACCTGTTTTTGGAGTCTGTTGTAGAGTAGAAGTGAAAGCATGCGGGATACTCTATACTGCAGAGTGGAGAGGACACAGTGGTAGGGAGGCACTGGATAAAAGAGAGAGGTCAACAGGGGAAGAGTTAAGACAGCACCGTACTTGTAAATGGGCCAACTATTGTTGAGAGGCAGCCTGGTGGGTGAGGCTAGACCACGAAGCACCTTTCGGTTACTATGGTAGCCTTACCCAACCCCGCCCCCCTTT